CAAAATTGGAAGGTAGGAAGTCACATTCAAATCTTAGTTCAGAAAATAAATTGAATGATGTTATAAGAGATATTGGCCCCTCTCATTACCACACAAATTAAAACTAGTTAAAAGGTAGATTTTCTGTCAATTTTGCAGGTGCACTTTATTAATGCAATTGATGTTACTTCTTCATACATGCATTTGTACAACTTTCATCCAAATAAGTTGTAAATACGAAGTTAAAATTTTGAGTTTGTGAGTTTTAAATTCTAAAAAATATATAGCTTTTAGATTTTTGATAAATTATTCATATGTTTTAAATAAATTTTGAACACAAATCTACTAAGTTATGTTGAACTCGACCTTTCCCTAAAATTAGAAAATATTGCAATATTACAATATAGTCAATATGATTCTACAAGTTAAAAAATCTGGAAAAAATATTAATGCAATTTTACTTTTATCTTATGAAGGATTTAAATCACGATAATTATTTGCTATTTTTTTTTTAGTTTGAAGCTAAATAATCTTTCTAGAAGAAGATTCAGATAACTAGATGCTCTTAAATTATAAAGATTGTTGAATTGTTTTGTTGTATGGTAATATTCACATCGTATTGTAAAAGGAAAAAAAATCTAGAAATTAATTTCACAAAAATAAAAAGTGATAAATCTCATTATAATAAAGAGTTAAAAGAAAATGGTCCCCTCAAATTCATTTGTAAAACCTCAAATGATGAATATTTTGAAAGTTATAGCCAAAAAAATAGGGGGGATAAAAAGAAGTGCAAATAATTACACTATTTAAATGATTGCATTATCACTACCATCTTTAATTATTTAGCTTTCAAGTAATATTACAAAACTTTATGTTATTATAATAAATAAAGGAGCAGTTGTAGCAGTATATTTCATAAAGGACAACTTTAAGAACCACCTCACCCAAAATTCAAGTCTAATAAATACCCTCTCCTGATTTTATGATTTATTTTATATCATTAAATTTTTCTAAAAATATCATTTTTTACTTTCAAATTTCATATCAAATAAAGGATATAATACATGCATAAATACACTTCTTAATTTAACTTGAGTTAATATTTACGTACTTTAACTTTAAATTTATACAAATAGATACTTAAATTTATACAAAATCGAACAATATATTCATTCTGCGTAGCGTTCTACATGAGAATTTTATGTCCTATGAGACATTTTACCTGTATTATGTCACGTAAAATATGTATGTGTACTTATTAAATTTTATCCAACTTTAAATGTCTACTTGTGCACACTCAAAATTAAAGGGCATATGTAGATGTCAGTTGAATCCAAATTAAAAGACTTATTTATATATTATGCCGAAATCAATTAAACGTCACATAAATTGAAATTGGTGCGGTGGTGAAATTATTCAGCGCTTGGTCAAAACTTTTAGATTCGAATTATAGATACAAAAAAGATCATGTTGAAAGAATTATCTTCAAATAAATATTATAACGTGTGATTTAAATTTAATCGAAGGTCTAACATCGATTCCGAATATTAAATGGGACAAAAAAAAAGGAGTAATTAAGTCTGTTGCTGTTTCGTTTTAAGCCATTGGCGGCATGACCATAATTATTTATTTTTTATAATCAAAATAGACAACAAAGGAGGAGATTATAATGTGAAAAATTCAATTATTATTCATATAGGGAAGAAATTATGTAGCTAAATAACTAAGTTATCACTTATTATTAGTGTACTCTAACATTACAAATTTTAGGTACTTGGTTGAATTTATATGACGTATTTTAATGAATATGTAATTTAATAAATATGAAAAGACTTTGCTAATATTTTAAAACCATCCTTAGAAAAATATAGTATTTTAATAGAGTTTTTGCTAACTAAAATAAATAAAATGTTGAAGAAACCTATCATCATTTTTAAAGGACTAAAAAGAAAATATAGATAAAATATTGATAATGTTACTAAAAAAATTTAATCGTTATTTTTAAAAATGATGAAAATAATAATGTGCTATATAAATTAAGACGGAGAAAACTCTAAATTATAAATATTTTCTCCTCTTCAATTTCTCTCACTTCACCATACACTTACATAGTTGAAAATTGAAAATCAACTTTGTTTTTTTTCCTCTCTAAAGACATAAAAATTAAGGGAGAGTGAGGGGAAAAAAAGATCATCTTTTCTTAATTTTATTGTTCTTTCTTTTTTGCCAACCCAAAAATCAAGAAAATCAAGATTATCTTATATATATATATATATATAAAATTAAAGCTTTTGTATTCTAAAGAAAGTATGGTTGCAAAGGCTGAAACTTAAAGGAGTCGATAAGAAGACACCACCAAAATTGAAGTTTGCGACATAATAATACAACAAAATTCCTTTGAGAGCTCGTTCTTGATTCTATAGAGTCGTGTTTTAAGTAGACATCCTAATGATATGGATTGTGAATCTCAATTAAATATAGAAAGATGGCCGAATTCTTTTCACTAGGAGAAGGAGGAGGAAGAGAAGCAACGAATAGTCAAGAATATCATCATCATCATCAAGAAACCACTAATAGTACTCATAATTGGTTCTTGTACAAACATCATGATCAAGAATTATCAACATACAAAGGTTTCGAATTATGGCAACAACAACAACAACAATCTCATCACAATGAGGAGGAGCAAAATTACCAAATTCTTCGAAACCCTATTATTAATCCGTTTGGATTAGATATTGGACCTAGTCATGATCATCATCATCATCATCATCACGAGACTAATATGATGATGAGAAGTAGTACTATTACAATAAGTTGCCAAGATTGTGGGAATCAAGCTAAGAAAGATTGTCAACATATGAGATGTAGGACTTGTTGTAAGAGTAGAGGTTTTCAATGTCAAACACATGTGAAAAGTACTTGGGTTCCAGCAGCTAAAAGAAGAGAAAGGCAACAACAACTTTCTTCTTTGCAACAACAAGAAAAAGAAGATAATAACAAGTCCAAAAGACAAAAAGATGATTCATATACCGGTAAAATCTTTATCTTTTTTAAGTTTGTTCTTTTTTTTTTGAATCGTATTTTACTGTTAGCGGTGAAGTTAAAAATTTCATTATATATTCTGAAAGAAAATTTTTTCCCCTTATGTTGAGGAGGGATCCAAGATCTTATACTCATATATAATCATTTTCTTTGATCATTCTTTCACAATAATGATGGAGCTAAAAGTTTTGTCATTCTGACAAGAATATTTAAAAAGATATGAGATAGTCACACTTGGATTTCCCTTATGTTGAGGAGATTTAAGATTTTATATTTAAATTTTAAATTCCTTATTTTTTTCAATATTTTTTGCTGTAGTGATAAAGATAAAAAAATTTATCACATATTTTGACAA